AGCAGCCTCTCCGAATCTCCTTCATCACCCCAAATCCAGTTTCCTCTTCTAGACAGCAGCCAGCCTGTAAACATCTGGGCAGGCAGTCCTAGCACAAGTCCTGGATTAGGGGTTGGTGGACAGACCCTGAGGTCAGCTCCATATGGATTTTCCAGCCTGGTGGAGAATCGTCTCATCTTTATGAGATGAGAGGGGCCATTTTCAATGTCCTCCCACTCCTTCTCACCCACACCCAAGCTATCTCCATGTCCAGCCCTTTTCTCCAAAATTAGTCGTGGCCCTCAAGCCAGCACTCTCCTGCCCACTGCAGGCAGGGCATCAGCGCCAGAGGAGAGGAGGGATGGGAGGAGAGGGAGGCGAGAGGGGAGGCAGCTACAGTCTGTTCATTAACCACCTCACTGGCCATTTCTGCCCAGAGTGGTAAAGAAGGACAAGGGACTTGTGGCTGGGAGGGCGGGAGGGGCACTCCTGCCAGGCTATGCCCAAGGGCATGAAGCAGGCCCCACGCTTTAGAGGGAGGTGGAGACAGTGTTGAACTCAATCAGTTGGCCTGCTGGGGGTCTCCACTCACTCACTCACCTTTCCTGTAGAGGAGCCACTGAATGAGGTGGGTGTCTGGGACAAGGGATTCCCAGGACAGGAGTGGTGGCTGGTGATGCGAGCAGAGGTTGTGGCTTGGCAAGGTTGGTTTCCAGAAGAAGGCAGCGAGAGCCTGTGTCCAGGCAGGAGTCAGGGTGCAAGGAGCAGAGCTGGTCCCAGGCCACTGCTAAGCAACTGAGCAGAGGGCTTTACCAGTAAGCCCTCCAGACCAGCCCAGGGGCGGGCCAGCAGTGCACCGCCTTCTCTTTCCCGGAGACAGCCAGGAGGCCCTCCACCAGCCATGGCCTTTAACCCCTGCAGTGCGCCCTGCTGGTTGCACTCTAACCGGCTCTGGCCAGGCGTGGCAGGGCACAGACACCTGGGCAGGAGATCGCCAGGAGTGCAGCTGCTCCCTCCTTCAGCTACTGGCCTAGCAGCTTCCTGGGGACAGGGAGGGGTGGGGCCAGAAGGCTTGGGGACAACGTGGGTAGGGAAGGAGACAGGGAGGCATCAGGGCCTTGAGAAGACCAGGACCCCATACAAGAGACACAGGTGCAGAGAAATGTCCAAAGTGCTGCTAGGTGGGGAAGGATGGTTGCTGAGATGGTGATGATGATAATAATGATGATGATAATAACAGTAACAATACAACAACTGTCAACTTTTTTCTTTTCTTTTTTCTTTTTTCTTTTTTCTTTTCTTTTTTAAGAAGGAATTTTTTTAAGAAGGAATCCAGCCCAGGCTGGAGTGCAGTGGTACAATCTCAGCTCACTGCAACCTCCACCTCCCAGGTTCATGGGATTCTCCTGCCTCAGCCTCCCCAGTAGCTGGGATTACAGGTGCCCGCCACCACACCAGCTAATTTTTGTATTTTTAGTAGAGACGGGTATTGCCACGCTGGTCTCGAACTCCTGACCTCAGGTGATCCTCCCACCTCAGTCTCCCAAAATGCTGGGATTACAGGTGAGCCACCGCACCCGGCCAACTGTCAGTTTTTCAGAGCACTCTGCTTTATGCTATTTCCAATTATTTTGTGAATGCAGGCCAGAATCACTTTTTTATTTTAACTTTTTATTTTAAAATAATTGTGTGTTCACAGAAGAGATCAATGGCGGTAGTAGAGACAGTACAGGTCTCGTGATATCCTCCACCAGCTTCCCCTAAGGTAACGTCTTACATTATGTGCCACGTGTGTCTGAATCCAGCTAATTTGCATTGCTGCAATGCTATGTCCAGAGGACTGTGAGCCCTATGAAAATGTCACTATATTCTGAAGTATCTGTTTTCTGTTCCAGAACCCAATCCAGGATCTCACATTACATTGAATTGTCACATCTTCATAATGTCTTTCAAAATGTGACAGATTTTCAGCTCTTGTTCTTCACAAATACCACACTGCTTTGATTACTGTTGCTTTAATGGTAATTTCTAGACTCTGAGAGCTGAGGACACCGATACACCTGTGTGTTCAGTCGGGTGGAAGTTTGTACACTTTTCTGTATTTATGAAATATTTCAACACAGTAATACAGACAAATGTCTGAAGCCGCCTTGTCAGTCACTGCCTCTGTGAGATGAGAGGGGTCATTTTCAACTTCCTCCCGCTGCAATCACCATGTACAAGCCATCTCCGCATCCCATCCTTTCTCCCAAGTTAGTCGTGGCCCCACTGCCCTCTCCTGGCTCATAACATCTCTAACCCCAGCCACTGACACCACTCGCAGAGACGGTGCCTGCCCCAGGCTCCTGCTTTGCCTTCCGCCTCCCAATCCATATACACAGCACATGAGAGGGCTCAGGAGAGCCAGGAGGAGGAATGGGGGCATGTGTTAGCAGGACTGGCATTAGGAGTGCCCTGGCAGGCAGCCCAGATGTCTGGGTAGCCACTGAGCCCTGGCTCCTGAGGGGATCTGCACCCAGGAGATGTTTATCCACTCCCAAGAACGAGGGTGTCACCCTCTAGTGAGGGCCCAGGATGGGTGCAGGCTGCTCTTCCCAAGATTCCCTGAAGCGGGAGCCCCGAGCAGCAGCAACCCCACTGGAGCCAGAAGTCGGGCACAGCAGCTGGGATGGAGCTTGATCCCCACAGATAGAGGAGGAGGAGTCACAGGCGAGCCCAGGTCTCCCAAGAGGCCTCTCAGACACCAGCTCATCTGATGCAGACAGACACTCATCCCCCATCTCCTGTCCCTGCCACTGTCACCCAGCGGCACACACACTCTCCCCTCCTTCTCCCCTTGATCATCCACCTCCAGAGCCCCGGCTCCTCCCTCCATCTCAGCCCCACTGCCTGCCCCTGTCCCTGCCCACTTCACCTGGCCCAACAGGCACCCACCCCATGTCAAAGGTGGCTGTGCGGGAGGGGAGGCAGGGACACGGTGAAGAAAGAAGACTCCACCAACAGTGAGTCCTGAGGTCACAGGGACCTAGGAGAGGAGTTACTCCATTCCTGGTGACCCCAAACACCTCCTCCTACTCTCCCAGGGAGAAACCAGCGCCACATCTATACCAGGCCTAGTGGTTCCCTGGCAGACACCTCCTCCAGAACAGACACCTGCCTCCCAGCTCAGACCTGTCCCCACTGCCAGGTCAGCTCCCACTCAGTCTCCAGACTTACCCAGCACAGAGAAGGCAGGGGTGAGAGGCCAGCTGTCCCCACCATCCTGGGGCAGTTCTTGTTCCAGTAGCCCCCTCACCCTCCTAACTCCAGAGCCTAAATCAAGGACACCACCGAGTTGCCCTTGGTCCAGCTCAAGGAAGATTAACTCCTTTCCTACCTTGCCCCAGCACTCCAGGCTCCCTCTTGGTGGCTCCTAAACCAACCTCACCCAAGCTATTTGCCCTTCTAGAGTGAGGTCCTATATCACCCTCTTCCTGCATGGGCACAAGAGATCCCAGGGGAGCCCTCCACCCAACTAGAGGACCCTTCACCCGGTCCTGGTCCTGCCTCCCCCTGGGTCCACCTACCTTATAGCACTTCCCAAGCGGACTGGCACTGTCCTGGGCTGGCTGCTTACCTGTGTCAGGTGCCCTGGGCTCTGCCAACCACCAGCTCCCGACTCAGGGTGTCCTTCCTCACCCATTCCTGCAGCTCCTACCTGAAGCAGTAGCTGCCTTCTCTCTGTGCCAGCTGAACACCATGGGCTCCCAGCACCCAGCCAGCACCCAGGCCTGGGGACTCCCTCATGGCAAGTGACAAAGGGAGACCGGAGGACAGGGGGCCAAAGGAGGGCAGAGGGCTGGAAGAGGACAGGGGACTGGAGGAGGGCAGAGGAGTGGAGGACAGCAGGGGACTGGAGGAGGGCAGGGGACTGGAGGAGGGCAGAGGAGTGGAGGATGACAGGGGACTGGAGGAGGGCAGAGGACTGGAGGATGGCAGGGGACTGGAGGATGGCAGGGGACTGGAGGACGGCAGGGGCCTAGAGAAGGGCAGAGGACTGGAGGGAGGCAGGGGGCTGGAGGAGGGCAGGGGGCTGGAGGAGGGCAGGGGCAGGGACCCAGACAGGGCTTCAGACAGACTGAATTGGGAGGGCAAGAAAGAGACCAAGGGTGCAAAGTGAGACGCAGGGAACAGAGAAAGGGAAGGAATGAGGGAAAGACAGGGACAGGAGACAGGGACGTGATACAGGAGACAGAGATGGGGCTGCAGCCTCTGCATGAGGGATATAGGAACAGAGAGAGGGCAGACGGGCTGGGGCATCCCTTGTGCTGGTTTTTAGATGCGGTTCTTGGGGTCTGTGAAAACAGCCATCCTCCCAGGCCCCTGCTCCTTTGCCCCAGTACTAGCCCCTGGAGCAGCCCAGCCTGCAGAAACGAGGACTCTGCATGGAAAGATCCCAGCGTTAACAAGGCAGAGTACAGCCGCGGGGCGGGTAGGGGGGCCAGCCCACCTGGGAAACCCGCCTGGCCCATTACTGGGCATAGGATCTCACTGGTGGTCTCACATCCATCCTTTTGGGAATGGGACCAGGACTGGGGGGTCGGCACTGGTGACCAGCACTCACGGGGACCGCTCAGCTCACTGAGGTGGAGAAAGGAAGGAGGAGCGTGGTGGGAACCTCGCCCTCTCCTCCCCACCCTGGAGCGCCACCTCACAGCCCAACCAAACAACACGAAGAGACAACCACAGGAACAGCAGCTGCGGAGCTCCACGGCCTCCCTCTGCCCCCTGGTGGCGAGAAGGAAGAAAAGCAGGAGCAAGTGCTGAAAACGAAAAGGAAACTAGCAGCAGTCCCACTAACCACAATGGATCAGCCCTCATTTGGCCAACAGGTGACTCTACCCCAGGCTGGCCTGAGAGGACCCATTTCCCATCTCACCATTCTGCCCCAGTGCCCTGGATCCTGCCTCTACCACTTCTTCCCTGCAGCGTCTTCGGTTCCCCCACCGCTGTGAGCCAGGTTCCCCCTCCAGGCTGCTGGGCTGAGACTGAGTCACTTCTTCCCAGGCTGTAAATCCTGGGACAGCTCTGCAAGGCACCGTCACTAGGGACGGACTCAGGCAGCAGAGCCATGCTCTCGTACCCCAGCCAGCCAGGCTCTCCTGGGTGAGTAGCAGGGGGACCCTGGAATTTACGGGGACAGAAGGGGAGTGATACCAGGAGCCAAGGAAGATAAATGCATGGCAGAGAGGAGGGAGAGGAGGAGACACATGGAGCCGTTCATGGATTTCACACAGGATCTGGGCTGGAAGAGGCTGCTGAGACCATCAGTCCAATCCTTGGTCTACAGGTGGGGAAACTGAGGCTCAAGGAAGGTGAGTGATTTGCCCGAGATCACACAGTGAGTGCGTAGCCAGGCCAGGATGGAGACCCAGGTCTCTGGACTCCTGACCCCATCCTCCCTAAATCCCATGTCCCACCCACCTCCCTCATTTACCTCCATTTCCCTCTCCCCTCCCCTCCACTGTGTCCCGCTGCTGCACCACTGCCACCTTACTCCAAACTCCAGCAGCCACAGCCTGGGAGGCAGGACACCTGGGTTTTCCACTCCATACCTGGTCTTGACTAGGATCTCAGAATAAGGCCACGAGCTGTCGGGGCCACAGTGTCCCTCTCTGGGCCCCAGGACCCATCGAGAGGAGAAGAGAATGAGATCCCCCGGAGAGAAAGGCAGTATTAAAACCAGGCGCCCTGCTCCGCACACACACACAGCATCTGCTCAGCCCCAGCCCTGGGGCCGCACTTTACTTCTGCACCCTCTCCTCAAAGAACACACATTTTCCACTCAGCTGGGGCCCAGGAAACAATGAGTGGGTGTCTCGAGGAGGATGAGTACCCAGGCAAGGCTGAGGACACCCCATGGAGAAGGAGGGGACACCCCCAGCCTAGTGTCCACATAGCATGAGCCCTCACGGGGTCACTTACACCAAGTCAGGACCCACAACACAGGCCCTATGGGCACACAGACCTGAGTTCAAATCCTGGGTACCTCTGTGATGTTGAATAAAAGACTTACCCTCTCCAACTCCCTGTTTGTCCTGGTCTAAAATGGAGTTAATAACCTCCAGGATGATGTGGGGATTGAATGGGGCAAGGGCATCAAGTGTTAGTACAGTGTCACCCAGGGACTGCTCAATCGGTGGAGACCACACCATCATCTTCGCACGCTGGCCTACAAGACAGTGCTGGGATTTTCCCCCCACTAGGTAACTTGCTATGTCACCCGAGATAAGTCACTTCCCCTCTGTAGTCTCTGTGTACTGCTTTATGTAAGGAGAGAGCTGGGCAGTGAGGCCAAGGGTCTTTCCTGGGCTCACAGTCCAAGTCGGAATGAATCACATCATTTTCAAGTACCCATGGCAGAAGAGGCAGCCATCCTCAAGATCACCAAAGACCTAAGAGGTGAGTGTGTCCTGAGAGATGTTCTGGGACTGAGTTGCGGGAGAAGTCAGGGTCTGGGAGCCCCTCCCTCAGGGGCCTCGCTACTCGATGCCTGACGCCTGCCATCCTCCCTGCAGCTGGCGTCTCTGCCATCCTCCAGGGCTATGGGGATGGGCAGGGACCAGTGACGGACACCAGTGCCGAGCTGTACAGACTCTGTGGCTGCCTGGAGCTGCTGCTACAGGTGGGACCTTCTCCTCCCCCTCCCCATCCTTCTCCCCAGACCCAGACAACTGGCAGGACATTCCTGGAAAACAAGGGAGGAGCCACAGTCCCATTCCTCACCATGCACTGTGCCATTTCCCTCTCCCTCCTGATACCTGACCTCACTCTTGGAGGCTGTCACTGCAGCCTGAGAAGTGAGGTGAGGCAAAGTGGGGCTGGAAGGGACCCGGGCCTTGGGGCGGGACACACACCTGGGGGTAGCCACCGCTGTTTAAAGCTTCAGAGGCATGGATGTCCTAGGACTGGCCCTTCCTGCTGCTACTCAGAGCCCCAACTATGACCAGCACCAGCTTTTATTGAACACTTGCTATGTGTCAGGTTTTGGCCTCTATATGCCTGGCTTTGTGCAATCCTCACTCTCACCCTCTGAGTTGCTTGATGTCCACCCCCCAACACCCCAACACACACCTTCCTACTTCTCTGACTTCATCTCTTGCCAGCCTGCCACTCATCTGCTGCACTCCAGCTCCCCTGGCCTCTTGGATCTTCCTGGAGCACACCAGGCATGCTCCTGCCTCGGGGCCTTTGCACGTGCTCTCCCCTCTACCTAAAATACTCTTCCACTGGAATGCACAGCACACTTTCTCAGCTCCTACAAGCTAGAAGGCTTTTCTTTTCTTTTTTTTTTTTTTTTTTTTTTTGAGACAGAGTCTCGCTCTGTCCCCCAGGCTGGAGTGCAGTGGCGCCATCTCAGCTCACTGCAAGCTCCACCTCCCAGGTTCACACCATTCTCCTGCCTCAGCCTCCCGAGTAGCTGGGACTACAGGCACCCGCCACCTCGACCAGCTATTTTTTTGTATTTTTTTAGTAGAGACAGGGTTTCACCGTGTTAGCCAGGATGGTCTCGATCTCCTGACCTCGTGATCCGCCTGTCTCAGCCTCCCAAAGTGCTGGGATTACAGGCTTGAGCCACCGTGCCCGGTGCTAGGTTTTTCTGGACACCCTAGATTTTCAACACACCTGCCACACACACCACGCACCAACGCACCACACATACACCCACCACATTTTCCATTCTCTTTCCTGCTTTATTTTTTTTCTCCATAGCAGTCATCACTATCTAACATACTCAATGCTTTACTTATCTCATCTGTTTGTTGTCTTAACTCTCCTATCAAGATGTAAGCTCCATGAAGTCAGTTTGTTCATAGCTGTATCCCCAGAACATAAAACAGGGCCTGGAACATAGTCAGTGCTCAATAAGGGCCTCTGAATGAATGAATGAATGAATGAGAACACTGAGGCTCAGGGAGTTCAAACACCTTGCTCATGGTCACACAGCCAGTAAGGACAGGGCTCGGTCCAGATGCCAGGTGTGTCTGCAGGAGCCTGCTCTTCCAGCAGGTGTCCCCTCAGCACGCTAGAATGCAGGGTGTGTTCTAGGAGGAAGCATTTCTACACTTTCTTTGCCTCATTTTGGTTCTAGTTTGACCAGAAAGAGCAGAAGAGCTTCCTGGGGCCTCGGAAGGATTACTGGGACTTTCTCTGCACTGCCCTACGACGGCAGCGGGTGGACATGGAGCCAATCCACTTTGTCCGTTCCCAGGACAAGGTATCCAGGGCCAGGCAGCGAGACAACTGACAGAGTGGGGGTGGACATAGGCCTGCTCCTTCTCCCACATCCTGCTCTACCGACCATAGACCGCTCACTTGCTCCGCATGTCTCCTAAACCCTGCCTGCAGCACCCCTCCAGACACCCTTTTCCTCCCATGGCCTCAGGTCCCCCCACACCCTTCCCATTGCCCAGCACCTCCAGTCCCCTCCCTCTGTGTTTCCTGGGCACCCTCTGTCCTAATACCACCCCCCCTTCTGCTCCTGTGCACTCTGCAGTTGAAGACCCCTCTGGGGAAAGGCCGTGCCTTCATCCGCTTCTGCCTGGCCCGTGGGCAGCTGGCTGAGGCCCTGCAGCTCTGCCTCCTGAACCCAGAGCTCACCAGGTGGGGCTGCTGGGACATCCTCCTGCCAATGCCATCTGAGCCACTTTCCCTCCTTTGTAAAAGAGCCCTCCTTTACCCCCCATGGATGGCTTTCTACCAAGGACCGTTACAATGAGAGTTATGAAGGAAAAATTAAGAGAGAAAAGGCAGAGGGAGGTTGGAACCCAGAGTCCTGGCAGCATCAGGGTTCTTGGGCCTCCTGCTCCTGAAGGGCCACGACTCTGCCTGGGGACCAGCCTCATGATGGTGTTGAGGTTGAGCTGGGGTGGGGGTGGTTGGGGTCAAGGAAAATAGCCCCAGGGTCAAAGGCCAAAGGTTCTCATCACTGTTAACACAGGGAATGGTATGGACCCCGGAGCCCTCTGCTCTGCCCAGAACGCCAAGAAGACATCCTGGACTCTCTCTATGCTCTCAATGGGGTGGCCTTCGAATTGGACCTCCAGCAGCCAGACCTGGATGGAGCCTGGCCCATGTTCTCAGAGTGAGTGGGTGCGGCCAGGAGGGAAGTTTCTTTTGACACCTGATCCCATGGCCACCAAGGGTCCCAGGCGAGCCCCAAGCCCTCAGCCCCCAGCCCCGTCTGTCTCTGCCTCCTTTTGTTCCATGACTTTGGATCCTTCTAGCCTTCGATGTTCCCAGTGCAAATTCATGGCATAATGCAGCCTAGAATACACACTCACTAACGACTTCCTGGGTGGTTGAGGTGGCGGGCTGGAGCATGAATGGATAGCAGGATGCTGGGAGGGAAAGTACGGATGAATGCAGGATGGGATGCATGAGGGTGGGTGGGCAGGAAGGAGGAAGTGTCATGGGATGAATGGGCGAGTGGAAAGATGGGATACCCTCCATCTGAGGGCCAAGCCCACCACCGAAGAGAGGCCCAGGGTCCCCCTGCCTCTTTCACTTTCAGGTCACGCTGCTCCAGTTCCACCCAAACCCAGGGAAGGAGACCCAGAAAAACCAAAGATGCCCCAAAGAAGGTGCCTCTCTGCCTCTGCCCCGCCTTCACTCTGAGTTGCCTCTTCCCCATCTCCTTGGCGTCCCCAGTTGGAGTAGTAACTGAGCTTCCCCCTCTGAGTGTACAGAGAGCCCTGACCCAACTGGACAGACAGAGCAAGAGGCCAGTGTGTGGAGCAGGGGACTGGGGAGCTGCAGAGGAGGAGAGGGCTCCTATTCCTGGGGTGGGGACACTGGGAGAGAAAGGGAACTCTAGCACCCTCTGCCCGAGCCACTGGGCCCAGAGGAGGAGAAAGTTCCAAGGGGGGCGGGCCACTGAAAGCTTCAGGAAACAGATGAGAGAGATGCCCTCTGCTGAGTCCCCTGCACTGGACAATAGGCAAACAACTCAGTTCAGTTCAAGAAGCGACTAAAGACCCAGGTTGCCTGGTGGAATTCCAGCCCCACCCGTTACAAACTATGGTTCTTGAACAAGTTACTTGTCTTGCCCCATAGGGATATAGTAAGGATGAACTGAGACAACTCACATCCAGCACTGCACAGGGCTCCTGGCTACACGCTCCCCTCATGGCACCGTGTGGTCACCTTCATTGTTGTTATCATCATTCCACAAGCACATTTTGCACCCCCACCAGCTTCCAGGCACTGGGTACAGATACTATTAGTTCTCTGGTCTGAAAAGTTCAGGGTCTCTTCGTGGAGATAGATCATAAAGAAAAGCATTGCAATATACGAGTTCAGTGTAAGTGACACAGAAATGAACAGAGGAACATGGGAGCACAGAGAAGGCTTCTTGAGAAGTTGCTCTTAGCTGAGTGTTGGTCTAGTCAAGATTTCGTCACAACCCTAAAACCGGATATTATCATTCCCATTTTGCAGATGAAAAAACTGAAACACGAAGTGTAGTTCAGGAGGAAGAATTAAAGGAAAGGGGTGGGTGGAACTTAGGCAGAGCCAGATCAATACCCAAGACCCAGGTGCAGGAAGGAGAAGGATGCGGACAGGAGAAAGGGAGAGAAGGACATCAGGATGTACTGCTGTCCCTCACCAGACCAAAGCATGGCGCTCAGATCACCTGGGTGTTGCTAAAAGTCAGATTTGGGGTTTGATAAATCAAAGTTTCCAGTGAGAGGACCTGGTACCTATCTATTTAGCAAGCCCATTAGATCAGCGCTGTGGCCTCTCCCACGCACCAGGTCAGTGAATTGGTGCTGAGAGGGATGACTGGTTTGGGGTCCTCTCCACAGATCCCAGCTGCATATGGAAGGCCCGAAAATGTCCAGATTGAGGACTCACACACCCGTCAAGCTGTCTGTCTGCAAGATGCACCCAGTGGACAGCAGCTGGCAGGGCTGCCCAGGTCCCAGCAGCAAAGGCATCTTCCTTTCTTTTTGGAAAAGAAGGGGGGAAATTCCAGGAGACATAGGTACCCCCAGAGTATGTGGGAACCAGAAGAAGAGGAGCTTCAACTAGACCAGGAGGAAGGAACCCCATGGATTGGGATGTTCCTGGGGAACTCAACACCCAGCACCCAGGGACAGGGGAAGGGGGCTATGGGCACTCAGAAGGAGGTGATAGGGATGGAGGCTGAGGGCACAGGGGTTCTGCTGGGTGCAGAGGGTCAGAGAACAACAGAGGAGACTCATGAAAAGGAACCAGAGTGGAGTCATGTCCAGAGGCTGCTGATGCCCAGCCCCAGAGGGACCATAGCGGGAACAGTATCGGGGAGCAGGCAGGGATCGGGGGACTCTAGCATCCTGGGGGAGCTCTGGGTCCTTCAGGGACTCACAACAAAGGAAGACTCTACCATGGAGAATCCACAAGTGCAAACAGAAGTTACCCTTGTGGCCAGAAGGGAGGAGCAAGCCGAGGTGTCCCTGCAGGACGAGATCAAGGTGAGAACAGTTGAGCTCCATACCTGGTTATTCTCCCCTCTCTGACCTGGCCCACAGATGAGGGTCTGAAATGGTAGCCTGGGACCATTCCCTCCCATGGATCAATTTTTATTGGCCCACTCAGGATTATTATTTGGGAATGCCTTTGAAAGCCATGCATTCTTCAGGTCACCACAGTCCCCACATCTCCCTATTGCCTCACGCTAGACCCACTTTATTTGGCAATACTTCTTGCCCAGCCCCAGTAGCATTGGAGTTTGAGATCCCTTCCCAGCAGTTCTTCCAGGCAGTCGCTTCCTCTCCAGTTCCATATCCTCATGATAGTAGGTCTCGTCCCCAAATCTAAGTTCTACTGTTGCAGAGCCCACCTAGTTGCTCCTGTGGTAGATGCTTCTCCTGGAGGTCACTCAAGATTGTCACCAAGCCTTCCTTCAGCTTCTACCCAGGAACTTGCAAGTTTCTGAGTTTACAACTTCCACCCTTCAGTGAAGGAAGAAACAGTGGCCCAGCCTCACTCAGAAGCAAGGCCTAGGACAGAGTCAGGCATCACAGCTCCCAGCACTGTCCCCAGCCCTGCCAGGGCATGGCCTGGGATCTCTCAGGAATGTCGTTCAGGTCAGCCCCGGCGTTGGGGTCTCTGTCCTTCTCCTTCAGCCTCCTCCTCCTCTCCTTCCACTCCCCAGAGCCTCAGACTTGGGCTCCGGAAGGCCGAGGAGCAGACCCAGCACCAGGAGCAGCTGCTGAGGAAGCAGGAGGGGGAGTTGCAGGCACTTCGGGAGCAGCTCAGCAGGTAACCTTGGCAACCCACAGCACAGGGCACCGGGAGGTGCTCCCTGAGTCCTGCTGTCAGTCACGGTCAAGTCAGTGAGGTCTTGTGAGAACCTCCCGTGCACCACATCCTGGGCTGGGCACACCTTTGGGATCTGAGGCCTGCAGGGCATTGCTCCTGATCCCAGGGCTCCACCCTCCCTCCCCTGTGCATCCCTTTCTCATAGGCCTCCCAGAGCAGCCCCAGGAGAGGCCCCACCTCCTGGCCTGCTTCCCTCCCACCCTAACCCTTGCCTCCCTCTGCTGCCTCCCCTGGGCAGCTCCTCTCTCTTTTCCACCCTCTGCCTCCCTACTCCACTGGGCGTCTTTCCCCCATCTCTTTCTGTCTCCCTCTTTTACTCGGTTTCTTTGTGTCTCATTTGCTTCTTCCTGTTACGCCACCTCTCACCCTCTCATAATCACAGCTATCATTTACTGAGCATTTACTATGTCCTGGGCCCTGCTGTAGGTGCTTCTGCGTAACATCCTTATGAGATGAGTTCTATAGAACCCCCATTTTATAGAGGAGGAAGCTGAGGCTCAAAGATGCTGCACAACTCACCCACCATTGGCTAGTTAGCAGGGGAGCTGAGATTCAAGGCCTGCGGCTGACTCCAGAATCAGTGGGCTCAGACGCCTGGCTCAGGCAGCATGTCAGATGCCTGCACTTCAGTCTCTCCGTTTCTCTTGCTCAGTGTCTCTCACCATCCAGTGTCTTCATCTTCCGTCATCACATTGATCTCAGGGGCCCACAGCACGCTGTCTGTCTCTACCGTGGCCCTCAGTCCTCAGTCTCTCGGGTCTCAGTTTCTCTCTCTCTCTTTTTGTAGAGATGAGGTCTTACTACATGGCGCAGACTGGTCTCAGATTCCTAGGCTCAAGCTTCAGCCTTCCAAAGTGCTAGGGTTATAGGCATGAGCCAGCACACCCAGCCCATAATTTATTTTTTAAAGTCTCTTCTCCCTGCAGAGATCTTCCGTGGCCTGAATCAGCCTCTCTGTGTCTCTCTCCTGTGGTCTCCGGGTGCCTGGGTCTGCCCACCTGCCCCCGTCTCTCCCTCCCACATGGCTAACACCTGCCCCAGGTCCAACAGACACCAGTCAGACTCCAGCAGGGCCTGAGTAGCTGTGATTCAGCCTGAATCACTGGGAAGCCTGCTGACTCTCTGCTTCGCAGGGGAGAGAGGCCCAGGAGCCCAGAAATCAACCCAAAAGGGCCCCTCGGGCTCCTCTCACTCCACACTCACCTGAGCCCACAGTGTGGTCAGCAAAGGTTTCCATGATTCAGGGCCCAAATGACCATGGGGATTCTGCCCACACAAGAGTCTTCAAGGGATCAAGACAAGCTAGGAGGAGCAGCTGGGAGGTTGTAGAGATATGGCCTGGCCCTGGCTGCTCCCTTTGCTGGGGGCCCTGTCTCACAGACCACAGTGCTCCGGCCACCTGTCACTCATCATTCAGTCATTCCACAAACACTCTGTGCACCCACTCTGAGCCAGGCCTGTCCTAGGTACGGGAAATCCTCTCACAGACAAAACAGGCCAAACACCTGCCTTCGTGGAGCTCGCATTCTAGTGGGTGAAGCAATAAATGTGATTAGCAAGTGAAGTACCTAGGATGTCAGATTGGAATAAGTTATAAGAAGAAGACATAAAGCAGACAAGAGGAACGGGACGTGTTGGTGTGGTATTTTACATTTTAATAAGGTAACATGGCCAGGGAAGACCTCCCTGAAAAGGTGACATTGATCTAAAGACCTGAAGGAAGTGAGGATCGAGCCCTTTGACTATTCGGTAGAATGTTCCAGGCTGCGGGGACAGCAAAAACAAAGGCCCTCATGGGGGACGGGCAGGGCAGCTTCTAGGAACATCAAGGAGGCCTTCCGGGCCCCAGTAGAGTGAAGGAGGGAGAGGATGTGGGAAAAGGTCAGGTGAGCCAAGGAGGCAGGTTAGAGAGAGCCTGCGAGGTCATCAGAAGGGCCTTGACTTTGACTCAGAGGAAGATGGGAGCCACTGAGGGCTCAGAGCAGGAGAGGGACTTGACTTTTTTTAATGTCAAAAAGATGTTTATATGCTTTTCCAAATGCTTAACAATTAAATGGTTTTTAGTATATTCAAGAGTTATGCATCCACCACCTCAATCAATTTCAGAACATTTCCATCTCCCCAAAGAGAAACCCTGTACCCATTAGCAGCCACTCCTCATTCCTTTCCCGGCTCTAGGCAACGCCAGTCCACTTCCTCTATAGATCAGCCTGTTAGAGGCTGACATGTTTTTTGTTGTTGGTGGTTTTGTGGTTTTGTTTTTGTTTTTGTTTTTGAGACAGAGTTTCCCTCTTGCTGCCTAGGCTGGAGTACAGGGATGCCATCTCGGTTCACCACAACCTCCGCCTCCTGGGTTCAAGTGATTCTCCTGCCTCAACCTCCAGAGTAGCTGGGATTACAGATGCCCGCAGCCATAGCCGGCTAATTTTTTGTATTTTTAGTAGAGATGGGGTTTCATCATGTTGGCCAGGCTGGACTCAAACTCCTGACTTCAGGTGATCCACCCACCTTGGCCTCTCAAAGTGTAGAGATTACAGGCATGAGCCACAGTGGTCGGCTTCATGTGTGTTTTAAAGGCCCCTTGGAGTTGGCCTGTTAGCAGGCAAGCTGAACACAGAGAGTCCAGTGACGACCCTACCGCACAAGGGAGAGTGGGGGTGCTCAGACTGGGCTGGCAGCATGGAGCAAGGAGAAGCTGCTGGGCTTTGGATGAAGTGTGAAGTAGAACTTCCTGAGGAATTGGATATGTGGTCTGAAAGAAAGATAGAAGTTGAGAATGACTCTGAGCTTTTCGACCTGATCAGCTGGAAAGCTAGAGTCACTGTTAACTGAAGTGTGCGGGCTGTGGGAGGGCAGGTTTGTGGGGAAAGTCAGAGCTTGGTTTTGAACACGTTATGTTTGAGACACCTGTTAGACATGTTAGACAGGGACCGCTGGACAAGCAGCTGAGTGTGGAACTCAGGAGGGAAGTGTGGGCTGGGAGATCAATCCTGGAGTCCTCAGAGTAAGGATGGTGAGTAAAGCTGATCCTGAGGCTCAGAAGAGGATGTGCTACCCTGATGCCTGGGACCCAGGGAGCTAAGGACAAAGCTCACTCCCAAGAAAGGAGCCCATGGGCATCAAGCTGGCGATGAGTTCCTCAACACCGAGAATAGAAGTGCTGAGGGACCCATTCATTCCATGGACATTTATTATGCTTCCACAGTGGCCATGAGCAGGTGTGGTGAACAAACCTGGCCCAGCCTGCTCTAGAAGACCTGGGACAGATAAACAGATAGCAATCCAATGGCAAACAGATAAACAGATAGCAATCCAATGGCAGGCAGGTAAACAGATCCAATGGCCATTGGATAGATGCTAGGGAAACAAAGGCAGGGAAAGGCGCAGACAAAGACAGGATAGTCATTCAGACTGGGGGCCAGGAAGTCCTCTCTGAGGTGACGTTTGAGCAGAAGCCCCAACCACATGAGAGACTGGACTGTTCAAATATTAGTGAGAAGTGCTGTGGCCAGAGGAATGGCCAGAAGACATGCGTCTGGGGACAGGCAGGCCAAATGCATACGGGGTATGGCTGAGCAGAGGAGAGAGGGGCAGAGCCGGAGGCAAGGGCCTCAAAGGCAGAGTGAGGCGCTGGAATTCTTCTTTGTGCTACCAGAGGCTGGGGCAGGGTTTAGAGCAGGGACGTTTCTCCGTCTGACTTCTGTATTTAAAGGCTCACTCAGGCTGTGGTATGGAGGACAGTGGAAGGGTGGTAGAAGTCCCACGCAGAGCACAGACTGGGAGCAGAGGTGAGCCACAGCCGACCTGAAGGCGTCAGGCCCAGGGCAGGCCCATGGGGCTGTGAAAATGGACTTTGGGCTGAGACATGGAGCTTCCAACACCCACCTCACAGCTTTCTGGCTGTGGGCCCCTGGGGACAGTGGCCTGCCCTCTCTGGGCCTCAGGTCCCTGACTTGCAAAAGGAGACGGTGGGATGGCTAAGGTTCCTCCTCCCAGCTCAGATGCTCGTGACGCAATCTTTCCAAGCAGGTGGGTGTCCTCTGCGCTGGGAGTAAGACCTCGAGCAAAAGAAATTAGGACAAGCATCAGCTGAAGAGGTCCTCAGGATGGGGAACTAGGCAGATGTGACATGTCCCCCCAACCCCTGCACAGCAGCACTGAGCTCCTTTGAGGCCTGCCAGGCTCCATCAGCATCCTTCCCTCCCTCCCTCCCACCTGCTGCCCACTTGGCACTGGTGCCAGGAATCACTGGTGATCAGGGCTTTACCTGGATGAAGGTGTAGGGAGGCAAAAAGAGTTCTGATCTGGGCTGGTCTGTGTCCAGATTTCTGCTCCCTCCACTCATCAAGCTGTGTGACCCTGGGCAAGTGTCACCCCCTCTCTGAGGTTCTACTCTTCTCTCTTGTAAAATGAGGATTATATTATCTGTCTCTTAAAATTGTGAAAACTAAATGAATGGGGCTATAAAACACTAAGCTTGGGCCTGGCATATAGTAAGTGCTCAGTAAACTAATTCCTTCCATGTCCCCTCATGTGTTAGAAGTATCCATCACTCCCTGATTAAAATACTTCAGGGCTCCCCATTTCACTGAGATTAACATCCACTTTTCCTGGGCCACTGGCAGACAGCTCAGGTCCTGCCCACCTCCCAACTCCTCTCCTGCCTTCCCAGTCCCCCACTGCTCTTTGTGGCAGCCCAGAATCATTCGTCTTTCAGTTCCTCAAACAAGCTCAGCTCTTTCCAACTTGCAGACCTTTGCATGTGCCCACGCCTGGCTCTACATTGCTGATTTTTCATCTTCTAGTTCAGCTTCCATTTCACCTTGTCTGAGGAGCCTCTCCAAGAGCCCTCCGTGGTCTCTGTCTTAGCCTCTCCTTTGTCTCTGTCGTAGCACTTAGTTTAGTTATTTTACGAGTCTATCATTTATTTTACCCCTGCCGCAAACACTGTAAGATCCATAGGCTCTGCTTTATTCCTGGCACCTAAACATCCCTTGGCACACAGTAGGTGCTAAGTAAGTGTTCTCTCCCACCCGAGAGACATAATGCACACACCACAGTGATCGCATTAAGGGCCCAGGATCACAGGGCAAGTAAACTGGCTCGGGAAAATTAAAGTCAGCAGCTAAGAAATGAGGTGCCAAAAGACTAGAATGTTCATTAAAATTAAAAACATGGCCCTGCTCCGTGCCTGAGCACCAGAACGCTCTTGGGGTTGCAGTGACTGAACTCTGGAATGTCAGTGGCTGGGCTGCTAACAGTTTGATGTCATGACCCACCCAACTTTCTTCCCTGCAACATGCTAAAAGGGGGTGTTTTAAAATTGCATGTTCAATTCATTGTCAAGCCTCTTGCAAGCCTCTTCCACTCAAACACGCTCAGGCCCCAGGACACACACCGGCACAGACACATACATGCATCCTGAGCACCGGGACTCTCACCCGTGCCATCTGCCATTGCAACGCCCTCCCAGCTGAGCCAGGGGCCTCCCAACTGAGCCAGAGGCTGGGCCCTGGGACCGGGTCTTTTTTATTTCCAGTCTAGTGGTCTTCTTGGAACTTTTCAGAAAACCACTACAGACAAAAAGAAAAACCAAGAGTGGAACTGAGACGCTACCAAGCCCAAAACTGAAACAAATTTAGGAAAGCCATATTTTTACTATCTCTTTTTAATTGAAAAGACAATGTAACATAACTTTTTAAAAAATATTTTAAAGCAAAAAATCGCTCTAAATCCTTCACTGTTCCCCTTCCACACACAATTATTTCCAGCTGGGCACCGACCCTCCAGCCTGGGTTCCCAGGTATCTGCCTTCCCTCCAGAGAGCAGCCATGATAGTGAACACACCTTTCAAGAAAGTTACATTTTAAATGGAAATGTTTGAAAACAAAGCCGGGAGGAGGAAATGTTGGCTCATCCCCTCCCTCTAAAGGAACACTCAGGGCAGGGCCCTGTTTTCATTTCTCTAAATAGTTGGTGAGGAGTCAGTTTGCAGGTGTCAGGCAACACTCAGTGTGCAGTTCAGTGTGTGGTGTGTGCATTGTATGTATGTGTGTAAACGCACACACATTGTGTGCATGTTGAGTTGTGTGTCTGCATTATGGATGTCTGTTGTATGTGTTGTGCAAGTGTGTGTTTATATGTTGTGTTGTTTGTGTTCTGTTTATGTGTGTGGTGTGTGCATTATATATGTGTTGTGTTGTATGTATTGTATTGTGTGTGCGTTATATATGTTGTGATATGTGGTGTGTTGTGGTGTGTGTATGTATTGTATTATATGTATAAATTATATGCGTGTAGCATTGTGTGTCTTCTGTGTTGTGTATATGTGTTCTGTTATACTTTGTGTGTATTAGGGTGTGTGTTGTGTTGTAGATGTGTGTGCTGTGTGTTGTGTATATGCTGTGTTGCATTTTGTGTTGTATTGCGTGTGTTGTGTGTTGTGTCGTGTGTGCATGTTATGCACGTGCATTGTGTTGTGTGATTGTGATTGTGTGGTGTGTACAATGTGTTGTTACGTGTGCATTATGAACGTGTATGTAGTGTGCTGTGTCTGTGAATGCTGTATAGTATGTGCTATATGTGTGTTGTGCATATATGTTGTGTTTGTGTGTTGTGTTATGTGTATGGGTTACATGTGTGTTGTGCATATATTGAGTTGTGTGTATGTGTTATACTGTGTGTTGTGTATGTGTTGCATTGTCTATATGTGTTGTGTGTGTGCTGTGTGTTGTATTGTGTGTGTTATGATATATAGGGGTTGTTGTGTTGTGTGTATTGTGTGTATATGTTGTGTGTGTTGTGTATATGTGTTCTGTTGAGTGTTGTATCTGTCTTATGTGTGGTATTGTGTGAGTGCATTGTGTGTGTTATATTGTGTTTTGTGTTGTGTGTATGCGTTGTGTTTTTGTGTGAATGCTGTTATGTGTATGGGCTACATTTGTGTTGTGTTGTGTATATGTTGAGTTGTGTGTATGTGTTATATTGTGTGTTGTTATTGTGTTGTGTATATGCATTGTGTGTATGTGTTGTGTGTAGTATTGTGTGTGTTACAATGTGTGGGGGTTGTGTCTGTTGTGTGTATTGTATATAAGTGTTCTGTTGGGTGTTAGGTCTCTTGTGTTTTATTGTATTATGTGTGTGCATTTTGTGTGTGGTGTGGTGTGCATTGTTGTGTGTGTGTGTATGTGTGTGGACTTCAGCTACTGGGGGCATCACCAGTGTCTCCCATGGGCTCCCTATCCGGCAGAGGCCCAGCCTAGCTCAGGCACAAAGGCTGAGTTTTGCCCCCTGAGAACTTAGTCTTCCTTCTGTACCCAGGTGTCAGGAAGAGAGAGCCGAGCTGCAGGCACAGCTGGAGCAGAAGCAACAGGAGGCTGAGAGGCGGGACACCGTGTACCAGGAGGAGCTTGGAGGGCAGCGGGACTTGGTCCAGGCCATGAAGAGGCGGGTGTTGGAACTGATCCAGTAAGGACGGGGACAGTGGGAAAGGGGAGACAGATGGGGGAACGGTAAGGAATGTGGAGCCCGGAGCATGAAAATTCTACTCCACTCACAGCTCCCAAGCAGGGTTCTAGAACTTTTATATACGCTAACTCTTTTGTTTCTTTTAGCCACTCCCTGCTGTTATCCCCATTTTACAGAAAAGGAAACTGAGGGTCAGAAATAAGACAGACTTGGCCGGGTGCAGTGGCTCACACCTGTAATCCCAGTACTTTGGAAGGCCAAGGTGGGCGGATCATGAGGTCGGGTGTTCAAGACCAACCTAGCCAATGCAGTGAAACCACATCTATACTAAAAATACAAAAATTAGCCGGGCATGGTGGCGCGTGCCTGTAGTCCCAGCTACTTGGGAGGTTGAGGCAAGACAATCACTTGAACCCGGAAGGCAGAAGTTGCAGTGAGCCAAGATCACACCACTGCACTCCAGCCTGGGGAACAGAGCGAGACTCCATTTAAAAAAAAAAAAAAAGGCAGACTTGGTCACCTAGGACACATAGCATATTAATTGTATAGAGTCCCCTGACAATAATGCACACCACCACCCAGACCCACCCCCACATACACACACCTACTGAGGTTAGGGAGGAGAAAAGAACCATGGGTTGAGAAGGAGTTGGGAGAAGGAGGAAAAAGACACCAGGGAGAACCCAGAGGTGATCACGTGTCCTACACCTACCTGCCCACGGGACTTCCTCAGGCCCTGGTCCTGTGGACCTGCCCTGGGTCAGCTGTCCTAGGTTCCAGAGGCTGGGCTCACCAGGGTCAGCTCCAAACCACTAAGCTCACTAAGAGACAGGGAAGATGCGGAAAGCATAATTCCTTCCCTTTAGTTGGGTAGAAAGAGAGTTCACATACATATGTTATCCTCTCATACAGTTCAGGAAACAGGAGACCAGTGGACTCAGGTTCCATTAAAATTGGAAGGTTGCTAAGGGGTCTTTTTTTTTTTTTAACAGAGTCACGCTCTGTCACCCAGGCTGGAGTGCAGTGGCGCCATCTCGGCTCACTGCAACCTCTACCTCCCGGATTCAAGTGATTCTCCTGCCTCAGCCTTCCAAGTAGCTGGGACTACAGGTGCGTGCCACCATGCTAGACTAATTTTTGTATTTTTGGTAGAGAAAGGATTTCACCATGTTGGTCAGGCTGGTCTTGAACTCCTGACCTCAATCAATCCACCCAGCTCGGCCTCCCAAAGTGCTAGGATTTCAGGTGAGGGGTCATTTAGAACTAAATCCTCTTACACAATATCTAAATGGTATTAAGGGTGAGAAAAAGGAGACATCAACTTGGAAAGGACGAACAATAATTTAAGGAATAGTTCCTCCAAAGGATTTACTGTCAATTTGGAGGAAGAGAGATATAAAAAGTGAAGTATTGACCTCATGAAATAATTTAAGATAGCCAACAATAAAAGACATATATACGTGATTGTTAAAGAAAACTAGAAAATTAAATGGAACATGGCCGGGTGCAGTGGCTCACAGGCCTGTAATCCCAGCACTTTAGGAGGGCAAGGTGGATGAATCACCTGAGTTCATGAGTTTGAGACCAGCCTGACCAACATGGTGAAACCCTGTCTCTACTAAAAATACAAAAATTAACTGGGCGTGTTAGCGGGCACCTGTAATCCCTGCTACTCAGGAGGCTGAGGCAGGAGAATCACTTGAACCCGGGAGGCGGAGGTTGCAGTGAGCCAAGATCATGCCACTGCACTCCAGCCTGAGCGACAAGAGTGAAACTCCATCTCAAAAAAAAAAAGAAAGAAAGAAAATTAAATGGAACATGTAATTGAAAACAAAAAGTATATATCCCCCAAAGTGTTGGGATTAGGGTTAGCATTAGAACTCAGCACTGAGCATATTGGTAGCAGGATCAAAAAGGGAAAGACAGAGTGACTAAATCTCACTTCCCATCCAAAGAAAATATACTAGTTCATCAGCACTAGTTTCCCAGTGCAAAGGTGATTAATCACAGGTTCTCAGGCAGGAAACATTAAACTATGTAATACAATGTCCCTGGCAGAAGCTTATGGAAAATATGACCCTAAGCAAAAAACGAAAAGAAAAAGGAAAAAAAATAGCCACCAAGGTTGACTTCTGCGTCAGGATGGTGGACTGCCCACATCTTATCTATTCTCCATCCTGAAATTTCTCTAAAATGACTATAAAAGACTAAAACCTAAAACAGAGAGAAAAGTGGAGGAGCTAACCACAGAGGAGAGATTTCAACTAATTTCCAGAAGCTGGAAAATAGATGGAGAAGTGGATACTGTGTGAAGCCCAAGTTTTTTGTAGGATCCAGAGATCCCAGAGCCACAGATGGCAGAAGTGAGATGAGAGATAAAGTCATTAGAAAGAACAGTCCATACCTGCTGCCTTCTGCCTGCCTCTCCACATGCAGAATATCCAGCACTCACGGGCCTATCTCCCAAGCAAATGACCAAAAGATCCTTCACTAAAGGAATTTAAGTGCCCCAAATAAAAGACCAGTTTGTCCTGGCATATGGGTGTCTGGTTGTAGCAGGTAGCTCCCTGCCCAGTCCCCACTAAAGGGAAACCACTAGTCAACCATTCCTGTCCACTATTCAGAGCTCTAAACAGCTTTTATTGCCTCTTTCTTACACATAAAATGACAACCAAGGATCCCCAGATATTTGAGGAGAGTCTAGAACATAAAGGGAAGAGATGAAGATAAACAAAGGAAAAAGATCCATCTTCTTTTGAAACAGGATGAAACAGGATGAAACAGGATGAAAACAGGATGAAATGAAACAGGATGCTATAAAAAGCATCTGTCAAAAGAGAAACATTCTTGGAAATTAAAAATTAAATTAAAATTATGATCACTGAATTTTTCTCAATTCACTAAAATGATTAGAAGAGAAAGATGAGGCAGCCTCTTAGAAAGTAGAGTAAAAAGCATAGAGAGATGGGAGTCAGGAGAGAAATAATTAAACATACAGATAATCAGTCTCTGAATTCCAATGTCCTTTCTAACTGTGAGGAGAGAAACAAATGAAACATAGCAAAAATTAAGATGTGAGAGAATTCCCCAGCTTTGATGGACACAGATCTTCAGTTTGAAGATTTCACTGAGCAAAGAATTGAAAAACAAAACAAAGCCCACAGATACATCATTATGAAATTTCAGTAAAACAGATAAGGAGAATGTCCTAAGATTGTCTAGAAAAAAAGACAGATCACCTATAAAAGAAGTAGAAATCATGTAAACAGTCTATGGTGCAATTCTTTTTAAGTTCTGAGAAAAACTGACTTTTGCCCTAGAGTCTTGTTTCCAGACAAACCATGAATGAAGTGGGGGAGTTGGTGGAGTAAAGACATTTTCACATAGACAGATTTCAGAAAATTTACCTCCCACATAGCCTTTCATAGGAAGTTAGTTGAGGATGTGCTCCAGAAAAACAAGGAAGTAAGCCAAGAAAGGAGAAGATGTGGAATTCAGGAAAAAAAAAAAATCGCTTTAGCCTAGGAGAGAAGAAAAGGGAATTCCCAAGATGACAAGTGGGCAGCAAGCCCAGGGAGCAGTCAGTCCAGAATGTAGCAGAAGGACCAAGGACGCAGGAGGAAGGTATCTGGGGAGAAAGGGAATCAAGAGAACACCTGAAATGATGAAGAATTGGGAGGAAAATAATATGTTAAAGGCAAGTAATGCAAGGAAAAAAGAAAGACAATTAAAAACTCCCAGAAAACCAAAAACCTTCCAAGAAGGAAAATGTTATAGAAGGTATCTTAGCTTGTTGGGAAGAAATATGTATATATATTATCTAATAATGTAAATATTATTCATTAATTTTTTCAATGTTAGAATCAACTTAAAAGCAAAGCACAGAAAGCAATTATGTAATTATAGAAACAGAACGTAAATGCTACCACCTTAACAATATTATGTATAGAATAGAATCCAATAGAATGTTCTATAAAGGTTGTATATTTATGCTGTCCAGTACGGTAGTCACATGTAGAGATGAAGCACTTGAAATATTGAGCTGGTGCAACTAAGGAACTAAAGTTTTTATTTTATGTATTAATATTTTAATTAAATTAAATGTAAATAGCCACATGTGGGGTAGTGGCTACCATTCTGGATGCTGTGAGAAAAGATGGCAAGTTAGAAGGTGGAGGAAAGAGGTGAGTTGAAAGGAAGAGATGCTGGCATCATCATATTACAGAACAGGAGTCATAAGGATACTACCTATAGTTAGTAGATGAAGAAATAAATATGTGAGTATATTCTGTAAAAATTACAATGGTAGCCTGGGCACGGTGACTCATGCCTGTCATCCCAGCACTTTGGAAGGCCAAGGCTGAGGTCAGGAGTTTGAGACCAGCCTGGCCAACATGCTGAAACCCCACCTCTACTAAAAATATAAAAACTAGCCAGGCATGGTGGCACATGCCTGTAATCCCAGCTACTTGGGAGGCTAAGGCAGGAGGATCACTTGAACCCAGGAGGCGGAGGTTGCAGTTAACCAAAGTCATGCCACAGCACTCTAGCCTGGGTGATAGAGAAAGACTCTGTCTCAAAAAAAAAAAAGAAAAAAATTACAATAGTAGCCAATAGAGGAACTAAAAACAGGAATATAACTATGTGAGGACGGTGAGTTAGTGAGGATGGTAATAAATAAGCTGAATCCTCTGATATCAAAGGACGGAGCTCTATAGAGAATGTTCTCTATTGGTAAACAAAGAAGGAGATAAAGGAGCATATTACTTAAATATGGAAGCAATTTCAAGGAGAGAAAGCAAAACGATGTCAGAAATGGTTTGCCACTGAGAACGAGAGAGAGGTGTTTTGATATGAGCACTTTTGTATGATTTTATTTTTAAATCACGTGTATGTATTATTTTGATACAAATTTAAAAGAACCCTTCTTCCTAAATATCCTTTCAAAAGGGAGTGAAGGCGGGGCATGGTGGTTCACGCCTGTAATCCCAACACTTTAGGAGGTTGAGGCAGGGTTCAAGACCAGTCTGGGCAACATGTCGAAACCCCAGCTCTACCAAAAATTAACCAGGCACACGCCTATAGTCCCAGCTACTTGGAAGGCTAAAGTGTAAAGATCACCTGAGCCCGGGAGGTCAAGGCTGCAGTCAGCTGTGATCATGCTACTGAACTCCAGTCTGGGCAACAGAGTTAGATGCTCTCACAAAAAAAAAAAAAAAAAAAAAAAAAAAAGGCAGTGAAATCAGTTTTGCAAGGGCATACACGCAAATAAATACCAAGGCAGTTTGTACTAAGTGCCAGATAAGAGACAGTAGGCAACATGTGCTGTAAGTGTCTGGAGCAAGAAACCCCAGGGGGCTCTGTGATCAGGGAGCACTCCTTTGTGCTTAAATAATGGGTCCTTAAATCATGGGTCAAGGTTATTTTGGGCGAAGAGGAGGCCAGGTGTCAAGACGCATTCTGATCTCTTGTATGTGTCTCTCACTGTCTCTTCATTTCTCTCTGTCTTTCTCTGGCCCCTGTGTCTCTTTCTCTATCTCTCCATCTGTCTCCATATCTGTCTCTTCCCCTCTGTCTCCATTTTCTCTGTCTCTGTGTCTATTTCTCTGTGTGTGTCTCTCTCCCTCTATATATCTCTCAACTTCTCTATGTCACTCTCTGTCTCTCTCCAATCCTCTGGCTTCCTCTCTCTCTCTCTTTCTCTCTCTCTCTCGTTTTCTCTCTGTCTGTCTCTCTTTCTCTCTCTCTCTCTGTCTCTCTCTCCCTCTTTCCCCTTCTCTCTTCCCCTCTCTCTCTGAGTAACCATCTTTCTCTGTCCATCTTTGTATCCCCCTCCATTGCTGTGTCTCTGTCTTTTTGCATTTCTGCTCTTGTTTCTGTCCCTGTCTCTGAATCTCTTTTTATTTCTGTGTGTGTCCATGTGATTCCCTCCATCATCCTCTCTGTCTCTCTCTTCCTGTCTGTGTGATTCCCTCTGTTCCTCTCTGTCTCTCTGTCTGAGTCATTTCCCATTTCTGTCTTTTGATCTCTGTCTCTGTCTATGTCTCTCCACCTTCATCCCCCATCAGAGAGAAGGACCGCCTGTGGCAGAGGCTCCAGCATCTTTCTTCCATGGCCCCTGGGTGCTGTGTGGCCTGTAGCAAGATCTTTGGCCGATTGTCCCGGCGGTATCCATGCAGGTAAAGGGAAGGGCACAGATTCCTCCCTCTGGGACAGCCCAGTTTCCACTAGCTGACAGCCCCCACCCACCCCAGGGAAGGGAGGGACACAGCAACTGGGTGTTTATAAAAGGCCACTTACAGCTGGCCACTCATTCTACCACATCTGACTTCCAACACTAAGCAGAGCCACGAAGGAGAAGAGCAGAAGGGTCAGACTTATTAAGGAGTGGGGTCCAGGGGGCAGGATTGGGTCCCCCTCCAAGAACTGACCAAGAAATGGGCCTCTCATCCAGAAGGGAGCGTCTGTACAGTGTAAGCTGCTCCCCCTCCTTCGTCTGTGAGCACAGTGCTAGGACCAGCCTTGGGAGAGAGGAAAGTGAGCCACCAGGAGAAGCTGCCATATGAAGGTGGAGGCTCTGGAGGGGTCGGGCATCAGGACACCCTTCAGGAGAGGGGAGACCTCTTGAGACAGACCAAGGGCATTCCACTGGGAGATGAGAAACAGATATCTCAGGTGGACCTGAAGATGCTGGAACTCCATGATCTCAGTGCCCACTTGGGGAAGTGCCAGCTGCAGAGGCCACCCCAGGCTTCCCTGCCTCTGCCTTCCAGGCTCTGCGGAGGCCTGCTCTGCCACGCTTGCTCTGCAGATTACAAGAAGAGAGACCGCTGCTGCCCACCCTGTGCCCAGGGAGGAGAAGCCCAGGTCACCTGACCAAGACCAGCCCACGACTGGCCTCCCACCCGCTTGCCCATCCCACTCAATCCACTCCCTGCCCGTAGCTCTTCCCAGCCCTCTTGTTTGTCCAGTCCGAATTCTAGACACTGGAGACCTAAGGCACCAGCACCTCTGTGGACAGAGTAGGGTGTGGGGAGTGGTTCCAGCCATGCAGCTACCACAAGGAGCCAGGTGACTTTGGCGAAGCCCTCAGTGCTCAGGGCTTCTTCTCTAACGTTAAGAGTCGGGCCCCATCCTCTCTAAAGTCCCTCTGGGACCAGCAAATCCATGACTATAGATAAGACGCCAGCAGCCCTGACATTTCTCCTCCACACTCCCCACTCACCCAGCACCGGTGCCCACCCTTCCTGATTCACTAGAAGTGAAGCCTGCACTGTCTTGGGCTCTCCCGCAGCTTCTTGTCTGGAGTCAGCTTCAGGGATCTGTGTGTGTATTGCTGTGTTTCTTTTTATGTTTAACAGTTTTATTGAAGTACTACTGACACATGATAAACATGACAGAGTGTACAATTTGATGAGTTTTGATTTTAATAAACGCCAGTGAACCATCTTCATAAACATATCTATCCACCCCAAAGTTTCCTTGTGACCCTCTGTGGCCTCCCTCCCTTGCTTTCCCTCCATACCTAGGCAAACACTGATCTGCTTTCAGTCACCATAGGCTAATGTACATTTTCTAGAATTTTATGTAAGTGAAATCATACAGTACGCCCTCTTTATTGCCTGCCTTCTTCTGCTCAGCTTCATGATGTTGAGATTCCTGTTTGTTGCTACACATATCGGGAACATATTTTATTTTCGAGTAGTGTCCGCCGTATGGATATGCCACAGTTTGTCTCTGCATTCACTTGTGGATGGACATCTGAGTTGTTTCCAACTTGAGGCTATTACAAATAAGATTCACATGAGTCTCTGCTGACGTACGCTTGTTTGTCTTATGTTTCTCTTGTGTAGACATACACTTGTTTCTTTTACATAAATACCTAGGAATGACATGAATGGATCATTATGTTTAACCTTTTTTTTTTTTTTTTTTTTTTTTTTTTGAGACGGAGTCTCGCTCTGTCGCCCAGGCTGGAGTGCAGTGGCACCATCTTGACTCACTGCAAGCTCCGCCTCCCGGGTTCACACCATTCTCTTGCCTCAGCCTCCCAAGTAGCTGGGACTACAGGTGCCCGCCACCATCCCCAGCTAATTTTTTGTGTTTTTAGTAGAGACGGGGTTTCACCGTGTTAGCCAGGATGATCTCGATCTCCTGACCTCGTGATCTGCCTGCGTCGGCCTCCCAAAGTGCTGGGATTACAGGTGTGAGCCACCGCACCCGGCCACGTTTAACTTTTAAGGAACCAGAAACTATTGCCCAAAGAGGTTGTACATTGGCCCTTCCCACCAACACTGTGTGAGAGTTTCTGTTGCCCCCATCCCACTCCCGCCAGGACACCTGGGTTTGGAAGGCAGGAAAGAGGCACAGACACAGAACTTGGGCCTCTTTGTCCTTCCCCACCAACCACTATAGTTCTTGATTGATCTCAAGTTGAGAGCGCCTGGAGGCAAGGGCTGAATCTAGGTGACTCTCTGTGCAGTGTTCATTTGGCCAGACTTTTGATAAGGACCATTGATGTGGACTATGTAGTAGTGTGACATAAGATCACATCCCCTATATTGTCCCAGAAGGCTTATGAAAGGTGTAGGTCATTCACTCGGCACCTGATTGTGGTACTTCTGAGAATAACTGTTTCAGAAGAGGTGCAGACCACACTCTAGGATAAGGTGATTAGCTGCCGTACACAGTTCAAAGACACATTTTGTGGCCCCCAACAGGCATTCACACTGTCCTTATCTGCTCTGCCTTGCAGGCACTGCTAGAGCCTCCACAGCTGTTGGGCAATCCTGTGGCTCTGACCAGAGCTCTGGACAGCCTCTTGGGGTTAGGCCGCCCAGATTGCATCCCGTTACCTTCACATGGAGCAAGAGTTTTGCAACAGTAGTTTCTGCCCTAGAGAGCTGGTGAGAACTTCTGCTTAGCAAACACAATAACAGGGTGAAGGGAGAAACTGGGGGGCTCCTGGAGCAAGCAGAGCAATAGAATTGCCACTACCCTAAAGGGCAGCAGTCCCTTTCTGGAAATGAGGCTTACTCACATGTCTTTACTAGGGCAGGGTTCTTACTATAGCAGAAGAAGTCATATTCTAGCAGGAACTCCAGCACAAAATTCAGACCTTCCTGATGAATTGATTGGATGTTCACGGGGTGGGGAGGGGGACTGGCTAAAGCCTGTTTCACAGAGCAAGGATGCTGCTCCTGGAAGAGAACTCATCACACGGGAATCAGGGGCCAGGACTCGGGGAGCTGGACTTTCTCCCACTGTTTGGGGTAAAGAAGAGCAATGCTGAAGACCAACATGTAGCTCAACACTGCCCCTGAAGAGTCTGCACTAAGTCCAATGGAGAGCAAAAGAGCTCCAAAAAGAAATCAGAAAAGTCTGTTAGACTTTGGGGACTCTCAAGCAGAGAGCTCCACAAAAATCACCATAGACCTCCCAGAGCCTGGCACTGCAAGTGCACCCATCCTTCTTCAGTGGTGACTCTAGGGTGCATGTACAGCAACTGCAAAGCCCAGAGAAGCTTGTGGGAGACACCCCAATAGACTCCCCCAAGTCCCTGAGGAGCGCATTACAGAGCTGAAGTCCAGCATGAACACATGGGCTCTGAGCCAGCGTGATCCAGATTGTTGCTATTGATGTGACTTCATCTGTATTCATAGGCTGGGGATACCCTGGGTAATTGGGGCAACATAGTTATTTCTTTAAATTATATGTCACTGGGATGTTCCAACATACGTCAGTTTCCCCTACCTGTCAATTCATTCAGCGCTCAAAAAAAAATGTGTTAAGCTTCTATGATATGCCAAACAATGACTGGTTTGGAGATACAGAGATAAAAATATATATGAAAGCACTGCTTTCAAGAACCTCACCATGGGGGAAGGAGCAGCCAAATGGATGATGAATTATAAACCCTTGGCTACATCTGCAAGGCAAAAGGAGAGTGGCCAAACCAAAAGAGTGGGAAAGAGCATCCCAGGGAAAAGGGAAACACATGTCAAGACCCCAGAGGAAACCAGAACAGCTCCTTGGGGATTGAGGGGACTGTAAGTGGTTCCCTGTGGCTGGAGTTAAGTGTTCTGTATTGGGGGGTGGGGAGAGCCTGAAGTGACAGAGTTGGAGAAGTAACAGGAGTTAAATGGAGGGTGCCAGGTGACCGACTCAGGAGTCTGACTTTACCTGAGTGTAACCAGGGTCCTTGATGAATTTTAAGAAGAAAAGAAAGTGATCAAATTCACATACTAGGAAGCTCATTCTGGCAGTGGATTGGAGGGCGGGTTAAAGGGGGAACTATTTGAGGTAGAAAACATTTAGGAGAGGAGGAGGGGGAGAGGAGGAAGAGGAGGATGAGGCGCAGCTAATAGAACCAAGCATCATTCTAAGTGTTTATCAGTCTAGACTCTTTTAATCCACATAACAACCCCATGTAGGAGCTGCTCTCATTATACCCACTTCACAGATAATGAAACTGAGACCCAGTGAGATTAAATCTCTTGACCAAAGGTCCAGGACTAGGTAGGTGGATTCTAACTCACACAGCCCAGTCTAGAACTCACAACTATTGCATGACCATTGCCTTAGGTGAAGTGAGAGAGAATAAAGTGTTGCCTAACACTCTCAGTGAAGGTGGTGAGGAGGAGATAGTCAGGAGTGATGTTAAGGAGAGGAAGAGTGAGGAGCAGGTACATTTCTGGTTTAGCAGATGATTGAACGAGGAACCATTCGGAAGAAAGACATGTCAAGAAATACAATGAGATTAATTTTCTTCATGTTGAATTTGCAACATCTGTGGGGCCTCAGGGAGATTTCAGGAGGTAATTGCATGTCAGAGTTTGGACATGCCAGAGTTAGGTGAGACACTGGTTAGGAGCAGTAGCTATGGGAGACCCTGGCACATGTTGGATGACAGTTGAAGCCATGAAAACCAGTGGACTCCCCAAGAGGGAGCAGGTAGAGTGAGAAGAGAAGAAAACCGAGGTAGAATCCTCAGGAACCTCAACATCTGAGGAATAAGTTAAGAAATAGAGCAACAAACAAGACCAAGAGAGATCAAAGGGAATAGAGGAGAATAGGTCAGTGGGATTCAATGATATAGAGATCAAGTAAGACCTGAACAGTAACTTTCCACCATAAATGAAGTTGAAAAGCATACAGCAGGCAGGAAGAAAATATCTTAACATAACTGACAAATATTCAAAACACTAATGCCCAAATTATATAAAGAGCTCCTACAAATCAATCACAAAGTAACAATCCGAGGCTCAGCATGGTGGTTCACGCCTGTAATCCTCAGCACTTTGGGAGGCCAAGGTGGGTGACCAGGGGTTCGAGACCAGCCTGGTCAACATGGTGTGAAACCCCGTTTCTACTAAAATTACAAAAATTACCCAGGAGTGATGGTGAACACCTGTAGTCCCAGCTAGTCGGGAGGCTGACGCATGATAATTGCTTGAACTTGGAAGGCAGAGGTTGCGGTGAGCCAAGATTGCACTCCAACCTAAGCAACAGAGTGAGACTCTGTTTCCAGAAAAAAAAAAAAGGTATATTTCTTGCCATGCACAATGGCTCATGCCTGTAATCCTAACACTTTGAGAGGCAGAGGCAAGAGAATCACTTGAGGCCAAAAAAAAAAAAAATGACAAAATAACAATCCAAGCAAAAAAGAAACAGATAAGAATAATTAATTCAGCTGGACCCAGTGGCTCCACCTGTAATCCCAGATATACAGGAGGCTAAGATTGCAGGATCACTTGAGGTGAGATATATACATATATATACATATATATGATATAGTATATATATCTTTTTATTAAGAAAAGAAGGAAGGAAAACATGTTTGTATTTACATGGGGAGAATTCTGGGCAAATGTACACACCAAGTTGTAGACAGTAGTTATCTGAGGAAAAGATACGGGTGAACAGAGGAACAGAAGGGAGACTTTCCAGCTGTGCTTTATATGCTTTTGTGCTTTTGTATTGCTTGTATTCTTTATATATGCACGCTTTGTTTTGTTATATTAAAAGTTTTGTGTGTTTGTGTGCTTCTTTTTTATTTCAATAGTGTTGGGATACAGGTGGTTTTCTGTTACATGGATAAGTTCTTTAGTGGTGATTTCTGAGAGATTTTTATGCACCTGCCACCCAAGCAGTGTACATTGTACCCAATATGTAATCTTTTATCCTTCACCTCCCTCCCAACCTTTTTCCCTACATCCCCAAAGTCTATTATATCATTCTTAGGCCTTTGCATCCTCATAGCTTAGCCCCCACTTATAACTGAGAACATATGATATTTGGTTTTCCATTCCTGAGTTACTTCACTTAGAATAATGGCTTCCAGCTCCATCCAAGTTGCTGCAAAAGACATTATTTTGTTCCATTTTATGGCTGAGTAGTATTGTAT